AACATGTTCATGTTTAGGATGATGAGGTAAAATCAAAAACCTTAATAGGAAGTGTCTTTTGTAAACAACTTTTATACATTTGCGCTTCTGCCTCTAATGATTATTGTCTGTGCTATGGAATTGAATTTTGTAGCTTGCCAGGGCTGGTGGAGGAAGATGGACAATTAATAATTACGTTTCTTCAAGATGCGAGAATCCAACGAGGCAACTAATACCATTTGCTTCATTTTCAGTTCGCTAGAATGTGGTTTGAAGGGATCATAGGAAGTTGAAGAAGTTTGTTGTATCATTTTAGACTATATTCATGAATTTGAAGTTTCTTATAGCTCTTTTCGGTTGTTTTCTTACCTTGAAAATGTTTTCATGGTTTCTTAAAATTGAGAAAATATTCTCAAAATCTTCGCTCAATCGTCAAGCCAATGTTAGGTCATTTGCAATATTCTAATATATTTCATTACAATGGTAATGCTAGTAGAGAGTGATGGGAATCAGTTCGAACAAAATTATTATCTATTGTTAAAGTATTACTCTGGCTAGATTCGTACTTTAGAACTTCCAAAATTGGACTTTATTTTATTGAACGTAAGGATTTGGTTTAGAACCATTTATGCCCACAAAAAAAAAAAAGAAATTGTGTACGTTTATTTTACTTTTTTTTTTGCGAAGCACAAGTACTGCGTGTTGTCATTTCTAGTTCCTTTGATATTAACAATATTTTTATGGTTTTAAAAATAGTATTCTTTATATTCCTAAAAAATTGTCCACATTGAGTTTTAAAAATTGTGCATAAATAGTATAAATCACTAATTAAAATCGTTGTTGATAACTTTTTCTAAAAGCAGGGTACACTAATTTCTATAAAGTATTTTCTTTTCATTTTATGATTGTAATTAATTTTCCTTGGAATTCAAAGAGTTTCCACACCAAATGAAGCTCGATCGCGTCTTGTTTTTTTGTTCCTTTAAGAAGTCATCCATTGAATTTTGTAGCATTTCGAATTTACTTTGAGTTGTTTTAATTCAAATAGTAATGCTTCAAATTTTTTCTTTTTACATACGCCGAATAAAGACTAAGGTATATATATACTAGTAAATTGTTTTTTGGACGCTTTAAATTCAATCACATAGTATAGGAACAACCTATTTCCCACACATATCTATTTTGCTGCTTCAAAAAAAAAAAAAAAACCCCAAAAGTAGCGGGATTTTGGATATCAGAAATCCGAAAGTATTGATAAATATTAGAATAATGTATCTATCATCGTTGAATACAAATTCAACTAGATTCGGACTTTTGAACTTCCAAAATTGGGCTATCTTGTATTGAACATTAGGATTTGGTTCAGAACCATTTATGCCCACAAAAAAAAGGAAATTTTCTACGTTTATTTTACTTTATTTAATTTCTTTTTTGCAAAGCACGAGTACTGCGCGTTGTCATTTCTAGTTCCTTTGATATTAAGAATATGTTTTATGGTTTTAAAAATAGTATTTTTTATATTCCTAAAAAATTGTCCACATTGAGTTTTAAAAATTGTACATAAATAGTATAAATCACTAATTAAAATCGTTGTTGATAACTTTTTCTAAAAGCAGGTACACTAATTGTTATATCGTATTTTCTTTTCATGTTATGATTATAATTTATTGTCCTTGGAATTCAAAGAGTTCCATTCCGAAAGAAGCTCGATCGCTTCTTTTTCTTTTCCTGTTCCTTTAAGAAGTTACCCATTGAATTTTGTAGTGTTTCGAATTTAGTTTGAGTTGTTTTAATTCGAATATATAGTAATGCATCAAATTTTTTCCTTTTACATACGCCAAATAAACAATGAGGTATATATATTCTTGTAAATTGATTTTTGGACGCTTTAAATGCAATCACTTAGGATAGGAACAACTTATTTCACACACATATCTTTTTTGATGCTTCAAAAAAAAAAAATCAGAAATCCGAAAGTATGGGGATTTTGGATACAAGAAATCCGAAAGCACGGTAGATCCAGATTTGAAAATCTTAAAATGATGTATCTATCGTTGAATACAAATTCGACTAGATTCGGGCTTTTGAACTTCCAAAATTGAATTTTGTTATATTGAACTTTTTGATTTGGCAACTACGAAAAAAACTTTTTTTTTCCATAGAAAAAGGGAAAATTTTTTTGTTCACATTAATTTTGTTTTTTTTTTTTTTTTGCGACGGACACTATAAAGCACGAGTACTGCACTTCTTGTTTCAAGTTCATTTGATATTAAGAATCATTCATCTGGTTCCAAAACTAGTATACTTCTTGTTTTTAATAAATTGTCGACATTAAATTTTGGGAGTTGTAGATAAATAGTACATCACAAATTAAATTCAGTAAGGACAATTTTTTTTCTTTTATAAAAAAACAAGGTACAATGATTGTTATAACGTCTTTTCTTTTAATGTTGTGATCATGATTTATTGTTCTTGGAATTTGAAGAGCTTCCACTCCAAAAGAAACTCGATCGCTTTTTTTTTTTCTTTAAAAATGAAGCCATTAAGTATTATAGTGTTTCAAAGTTAGTTTAAGTGATTTTAATTTAAATAGTAATGCTTCAAAATTTACATTTTACATACGATGAATAAACAAATGAGGTATACATTCTGGGAAATTGATTTTTGGACGCTTTAAATGCAATCAATTAGCATAGGAACACCTTATTTCAAACACATATCCATTTTTCTACATCAAAAAAAAAAAGTCAGATATCTGAAGGTAGGGTTATGTCGGATTTCAAAAATCCGAAAGTATGGTAGATCCAGATTTGACAAATCTGAAAGTGATGTATCTATCATAGAAATACTACTTCGGCTACATTTGGACTTTTGAACTTCTGAAATCGGATTTTGGAAGCAGGTATTTCCTTTGGTATATTTCTGCTCCAACTTCAGAAGTATTTATCATTGCAGCACTACACTAGAAAGTGCTTTCGGGTGATAACCAAGGGGCCAATTATAAAGCCAAGATCTTGGCTTTCGATTTTAGGGATAAATAGTTCTGGGAGATTCGTGTGCCTTTGGATTCCGGGATTTTAAGGTTATGGGAGCTGGAGTTCTTAGGAGAGTTTTGGGTTTCACTTGTGGTTTTATTTAACAGTCCTTACAATTCCGTCATTTATGTTGGGGAAAACGGGGATTTGTGGGTGATGACGGAGTGTGGAAATTTGGATTCGTCGACTAAAGTTTATACAATAACATTAGACATTGGAGTCGAGCAACCTTTGTTTTTCTCTAAGACTGAAGAATTCATTTTCCTAGATGTTGGAAGATATGGTTTAGTTTGTAACTTAGAGGCTCAGCATATCGCATACCTTAGAGTGAGGGTGCCAAAAGAATCCGATTTCTTCAAATTCACCAAATCCATGGCCCTTGTGGACGAAAGCAATAAACCTGTTCAAGTTTAGGATGATGAGGTAAAATCAAAACAAAAATAGATAGTGTCTTTTGTTAACAACTTTTATACATTTGTGCTTCTCCCTCTAATCATTATTGTGTGTGTTTTGGAATTGAATTTCGTAGGTTGCCATGGCTGGTGGAGGAAGATGGACGATTAATAATAACGTTTCTTCAAGATTCGAGAATACAACGAGGCAACTAATACCATTTGCTTCATATTCAGTTTGCTAGAATGTCATTTGACGGAATCATAGAAAGTTGAAAATGTTTGTTGTATCATTTCAGACTATATTCATGAAGTTAAAGTTTCTTATAGCTCTTTTTGGTTTCTTTCTTACCGTGAAAACGGTTTCATGGTTTCTTAAAATTGGGAGAATGATTTCAAAACCTTCGCTCAATCATCAAGCCAATGTTAGGTCATTTGCAATATTCTAATGTAGTTCATTGCAATTGCAATGCTAGTAGAGAGTGATGGGAATCAGTTCTAACAAAATTATTATCTATTGTTGAAGTATTACTCTGGCTAGATTGGTACTTTAGAACTTCCAAAATTGGACTTTCTTATATTGAACTTTATGATACTGCAAATTTCAAAGAACCATTTATGGCCACAAAAAAAAGAAGTGGAAATTGTCTATGTTTACTTTACTTTATTATTTTTTTTTGGTGAAGCACGAGTACTGCGCTTTGTAATTTCTAGTTCCTTTGATATTAAGAATATTTTTTCAGGTTTTAAAAATAGTATTCTTTCTATCCCTAAAAAACTGTCCTCATTGACTTTGTTATATTGAACTTTGTGATTTGGCAAATCCGGAAGAACCATTTATGTGAACAAAAATAGGGAAATTTTATTTGTTCACATTTATTTAATTTAATTTATTTTTTTGCGAAGGACCCTACAAAGCATGAATACTGCGCTTTTTCATTTCAAGTTTGTTTGATATTAAGAATCATTCATCTAGTTTGAAAAATAGTACACTTCTTGTTCTTAATAAATTGTCGACATTGAATTTTGAGAATTGTAGATAAATAGTACATCACAAACTAAATTCATTAAGAAAAACTTTTTTTTTTAAAAAAAAGGGTACAATGTTTGTTATTACGTCTTTTCTTTTCATGTTGTGATCATGATTAATTGTCCTTGGAATTCGTAGTGTGATTTCAAATTTCAAAAATCTGAAAATACAGTAGATCCATATTTGACAAATTCAAAAGTGATGTATCTATCATTGAAATACTACTTTGGCTACATTTGGACTTTTGAACTGCCGAAGTCGGATTTTAGAAGTAGGTTTTTCCCTTGGTATATTTCTGCTCCAACTTCAGAAGTATTTGTTGCTGCTGCACTTCGCTGAAAAGTTCTTTCGAGTGATAACCAAGGGGCCAAATATAAAGTCAGGATCTGGGCTTTTGATTTCAGGGATGAATTGTTCTTGGAAGTTCCCGTGCCTTTAGATTCTAGGATTTTAAGGTTATGTGAACTGGAGTTCTTAGGAGTGTTTTGCGGTTTGCTTGCGGATTTATCTTACTGTCCTTACAATGTCGGCATTTATGTTTGGGAAAACGGGGATTTGTGGGTGATGACGGAGTTTGGGATTGTGGATTCGTGGACCAAATTTTATACAATAACATTAGACATTGGAGTTGAGCGGCCTTTGTTCTTCACTAAGACTGAAGAAATCATTTTCCTGGATGTTGGAAGATATGCTTTAGTTTGTAACTTAGGGACTCAGCAAATGGCATTACTTGGAGTTAGGGTGACTAGTGAATCCGATTTCTTCACATTCACGAAATCAATGGCCCTTGTGGACGAAAGCAATAAACCTGTTCAAGTTTTGGATGATGAGGTAAAATCAAAACCTCAACAGGCAGTATCTTTTGTTAACAAGTTTTATACATTTGTGCTTCTTCCTCTAATGATTATTGTCTGTGTTTTGGAATTGAATTTTGTAGGTTGCCGTGGCCGGTTGAGGAAGATGGATGATTAATAATCGCGCTTCTTTAAGATATGCCAAAATTAAGTGAGGCAACCAATACCATTTGCTTCATTTTCGGTGTGCTAGAATGTCATTTGAAGGGATCATAGGAAGTTGAAGAAGTTTGTTGTATCATTTCAGAAAACGTTCATGAATGTTTTCATGGTTTGTTAAAATTTCAAAAATGATCTCACACCCTTGGCTCAATCGTCAAGCCAATGTTAGGTTATTTGCAATATTTTAATATACACCATTGCAATTTCAATGCTTACAGAGAGTGATGGGAACCAGTTCGAACAAAATTATTCTCAATCATTAAAGACTTTGGCTAGATTCCTACTTTTGAACCACCGAAATCATACTTTCTGATTTGGCAACTCTGAAAGAACTATTTATTCCCACAAAAAAAAATTCTTTATCAGCATTTTTTTTTTTTTGCAAAGTACCCTATAAAGAACGAGTACTGTCCTTTGTCATTTCTTGTTCCTTTGATATTAAGAATCTTTTATCCTGTTTTAAAAATAGTATTTTTTCTGTTCTTACAAAATTGTTGACATTGAATTATGAGAATTGTACATAAATAGTATAAGTCGGTAATTAAATTTATTGTGAATAACTTTTTTTAAAAACAGGGTAAACTAATTGTTATAACGTCCTTTGTTTTGATATTATGATCATTATTAATTGTCTTTGGAATTCGAAGAGTTTCCACTCCAAAAAAAGCTCTATCGCTTCTTTTTTTTCTTTTTTTTTTACTTTAAAAGTTAGCCATTGAATTTTATAATGTTTCAAATTTAGTGTGAGTGGTTTTAATTTAAATAGTAATGCTTCAAAATTTATCTTTTACATACACCAAATAAACAAATGAGGCATATATATTCTTGGAAATTTCTTTTTGGCCGCCTAAATGATATCACATATTTTTTTTAGAAAAAAAAAATAAAATAAAAATTGGATGGCCCCAGCGAGAATCGAACCCTCGACGTCCTGCTAATAACCATCCCCTTTCTTAATCTCCTAATCACCCCGTCCAACCCTCCACCTCCTACCTCACACACATATCTAGTTTGCTATTTAAAAAAAAAAACAATAAAAGAATTCTGAAATCTAAAAATAGGGTGACATTTGATTTCTGAAATCCGAAAGTACGGTATATCCAGATTTGGCAAATCCAAAAGTGATGTATCTATTGTTGAAGTACTACTTCGGCTAGATTCGGACTTTTGAACTTCTGAAATTGGATTTTCTTATATTGAATTTTTGGATTTGCTAAACTATTTATGTCCACAAAAAAAAATAATCCTCATTTTTTCTATGTAATTCTTTTTTTTTTTTTGGCGAAGCACCCTATATGGCACGAAATACTACTCCTTGCCGTTTCTTGTTCCTCTGATATGAACAATCTTTTATTTGGTTTTAAAAATAGTAATCTTTCTGTTCGTAAAAAGTTGTCCACATTAAATTTGAGAATTGTAGATAAATGTACAAATCGCAAATTTGATTCACTGTGGATAACTATTTTTGTTTTTTTAAAAAAACAAGGTACACTAATTGTTATAATGTCTTTTCTTTTCATGTTATATGATCATTATTTATTTACAAGAAAGTGGTAATGCTTCAACTGTAGTGTGATTGACAGTTTAACACAAAGTACACTGATTTGGTATCTTGATTGCAGTGCAAATTTTAAATCAAAAAACCAAATGTAATTTTTTAATATCTTTGTTGGATTTCATCTAAGTAGAGAAAATGGATGTGGAGAAAAATATACTTCATCACCGACGCACAACACATTACACACTTAAGTTCACTCTCTCTTCACTCAGAGTTCTCTCTTCTCCACCTTCTTTTTTTCATTCTTCATCTAGATAACTGTTGTCGGTGATGGATTTCCTTGTTCAGAATTCCCTAATTAATGCATGTGTCCTTCTTCTCAATCTTGCTGACAAGCCGTCGTCACACCAGTTAAATAATAATTACCTACTTAACACAATTAGTAGTAGAAAAGTAGCAAGCAGGGTTGATCCCACAGAGAAGGAATACTAATTACCAGGTATAAATTACTCCTATTATTATCTAGATAAATGATGATCTCAGATTTATAAAATTTAAAACTAAAATAAATAAATAAAATAAAAGCAAATAATAGGAGCTGTAATTAAAGCTTTCTTCAAGGCATTAAAAGAAGTTAAATAATCATCAGTAAACTCAAAAGCCACATCTTTGTTCAACAAATTGCACAAATGTTTAGTAATCTTGGAAAAATCTTTAATAAAATGACGATAAAAACCAACATGTCCAAGAAAACTTCTAACTCCCTTTGTTGAAATTGATGGAGGCAATTTCTCAATAGCTTCTATTTTAGCACGATCTACCTCAATACCCTTGGAAGAAATCTTATGCCCCAAAACTATACCTTCCTGCACCATAAAATAACACTTCTCCCAATTCAAAACAAGGTTAATCTCTTCACAACGTTGTAAAACCAAAGAAAGGTTAGCAAGAAAATTATCAAAAGAAGATCCAAACACAGAAAAATCATCCATAAACACTTCCATGATCTTCTCAATGAAATCAGAAAATATAGCCATCATACAACGTTGAAAAGTAGCAGGAGGATTACACAAACCAAACGGCATCCTACGAAATGTAAAAGTACCATAAGGACATGTAAAAGTAGTCTTTTATTGATCTTCAGGAGCAATAGGAATTTGATTATAACTAGAATATCCATCAAGAAAATAATAGAATTTATACCCAACAAGTCTTTCAAGAATTTGCTCAGGAAAAGGTAAAGGAAAATGATCTTTCCTAGTAGCACTATTTAACTTCCTATAATCAATGCAAACTCTCCATCCAGTTGCAGTCCAAGTGGGAATCAATTCATTATTTTCATTTGCAACCACAGTCATCCCACCCTTCTTAAGTACAACTTGAACAGGACTAATCCAAGAATAGAGTAGCTGCACTCTAATAGTGGCACCGGGTCGATGAAACCTAATGAATTTGGATCAAAAAAATGCAAAGAAAAAAAATTTGAAAATTGGGTAAGAAAGGTAGTATATTATTTGAAAATTAAAGTCTCAATAATTGTTTCTTTAATCCCTGTGCATATCTTGTGCAATAGATCAAAAAAATAGTAGTATTATTTTTTTGTCGAAATTGAACAATGTACTTATTTGAACATGATTTTCATTTCCCTTCATATAAGAAATTTTACATTTCCAAGAGGACATTAAATATGGTTTCTCCAATATTTACCCCTCAACTGATTGACTATAGAAAAAAAACTATTTCAACAAGTGTCATTATTAATATAGATTATGAGGTTATTTTAGGAACTTAATTGTATATTTGTGACAAATAACTAAATTTGACTAGTTTTATTGTGATATGAAGAGTTTGGTAATTCCCTTTAATAATAAAGGACTATCTAAATTAGATGTGTTTCGTGCGTTCCCCCAAATAATTTTCCATACAGACAATATTATAGTACAGCTGAAATGAAAAAAGAATATACAGAAACAAAGAATTGTGATATATTAAAAAATAATCTACAATATTCACTAAAATCATCAGTTCTGTAACTTTAAAAATTTAATTCACATGCATATGTTTTATTAAACGATTGCATTGAAAAACCTTTTATTTATTTGGGATACTTTTAAATTAGGTTGAGTAGATGTATATAGAAAAATGGGCTACCAAGAGATACAAAGTAAGTTTCAAAAAAATTGAAACACCGCAGTAGGAAACATACCGGGTCATTAAAAAGTGACAAAAGAGTAATATTACATTTGGCAGAGAAATTTTCATAATTGCATCAAAAATTATTCAGCGCCCATAAATTTTAATTCGACCCTTTTCTGCATTGTAGCCTTTTTTATATAATTTTATACGTAAACATTTTAATAGAGCAAGAGAAGTGAAAAGATGGATGGACTCTTGTTCTTAATAAATTGTCGACATTGAATTTTGAGAATTGTAGATAAATAGTACATCACAAATTAAATTCATTAAGGATAATTTTTTTTCTTTTATAAAAAAACAAGGTACAATGATTGTGAATCATTTACCAAAATATTCCGTTTGTACCACTGGTCGCCTGAAATATAAGGATCAGAAGGAGTGGTCAGGAAATACCATTACCGGAAAACCAATTTCCGTTTTTAAGAACTACAGTGATAAAAACGGAATTTCATTAGCCGGTTATAATATAATTAAGGGTACTAATTGTTTTGACTGGCTGAGTATAACAAAAACGGAAAACCATTTTCCGTTTTAATGAAATTCATTCATTAAAAAAATTCGTATAATAATAATAGCGGGAAATAATTTTCATATATAATAAACGGAATTTGGTTTTCCGTTTTTATCTTGGAATGTTTGAAAAAAAAAACTGAAGCCTAAAACTCACCAACATGTGCAATACCAATAAACAGAACCAAATCTCCATTCAAACAGAAACAAGCAGAACTTGTGCAACACCAATAAATAGAACCAAAGCTTCATTCAAATAGAAACAAGCAGCAAAAGTATTCAGTCCAAATCACAACCAGAAAAATTCCAGCAACTAATCCATGTCTAAATCATGGAATTATCCCCAGATCATGTCCAAAACAGTTCAAAACTACGAAATACAACCTAAAAAGAAATTACTCCTCCGGCGATGGCGGCGTGGACCTAGAAGGTGTATACTTTTTAGGTGGCCTGCGTTTCCGATCCTGTTTTCTTTTTGCCAAAGGTAGGCTGGATTGCTGCAAAGTTTGGGATGCCTGAAACTCAGTATCTTGCTCTATAGTTGGGGTCACCTCAATCTCAATATCTTGCTCCGTAGTAGTTTGTTCCTGCTCCATAGTAAACATAGTTTGTTCCCCAGTAAACATAGTCTGTTCCTGGGGAGACGGAGTTTGAAACATGTTTGCAAAGAACTCATTGGATTCTACTACCTTCTTTCTTCCTCCAATTCCAGCCTTAGGGATATTAGCCCTGCGA